ATAATGAATTCATTAATATTTATATGAAAATTGAACAATATATTAGTATAATAGATTTTATAGATAATATTAATATTCTTATATAAAATGATATTATAATAGAAAACATATATATTCTATATAAAATCCACAAGAAATGTATATAATGAGTAGGATGATATAATATACAATTCATTTCAATGAAATACTAACTACTTTATTTCATTTGATATTCTAAATTTTATAATATAAAAGCTTCCCTTTAGCTCGACTTTATTATAATAACATTAAAGTTAAGTATCAAAATACTAAACCTTTATTTAAATTCCAAACTATCTTGAAGGAAGTATGTCTAGTAAATAAAAGGAAAATTGATTAATTAGATGCTTGTTTTATATAGGATTACAATATTGATTTAGAAAATTAATTTATATTTATTTTAATAAGTATATAAAGTAGTAGTGCTGTTTGTAATAATATATGTATTATTTATATGGTATACTTTAGTAATTATTAAGATAATGACTAAATCTATTATTCTCAATCTTTAAAGAGAATAGAATGTTTGTCTTTGAATAATTATTGATGCTTATAAAGTGATACTCATCTATATACTATATATAAAAGTCCTTATAAAACCTTTGAATATTTATTTAGATGAATTATAAGCTATAATAAGATTTAGATTGAAAGGAACAGGTATACTGAAATTGATTTAGGAAGAATGTAATAGAGTATATAGGAAATATAAATCTGTAAAAAGATTGAGGAGAATTTACATCACTTTTGGAAAAGTAAAGTTTAAATAAGCTCTATTTAAAATAAAATATAATAAGATTATTAGAAATTATAAATAAAAATAAAAAATAAAAAAGGATAGTAAACGAATTCTATATTAAATAAATATAATAATTTATTTTCGATTTTAAAGTATAATAGATTGAATAGTTATATAAAGAAACATTCTTTAGAATCATTATGAATCTAAAACGCTTGTAACTTTAGATTATCAAATTAATAGGAATCAGTTCAAAATCTATAATAATTTTAAAAAAAGAATTAGTTTAATAGTATTAGATATTAGAATAGAAAAGATAGGTTTAAAAAGTTTCCTTATAAAATAAAGGGTTTTAGGATATATATTAGAGTATATATAATATAGATAAAGGAATTAGATTATTAATTAGATTATATTCTACTATATAGATATAATATTATAATAATGGAGGCTTTGAATTCAGATATAATAAATGTACAATTTTATATAAAACTCGAGATCACTTAAAGGGATAGTTATATAACTTATCAAAACAGAATTACTTTTCTAATATATATTTTTATTAAGAATATTAATATATAAATTTCAAAAATACAAATCGAAATTATAAAGATAATTATAGAAATACAATAATATTAATGAAATCTTATCAAACCTTAAACTTTATTCTCAAAGAATTGAAATGCAATTTTCGTACTAGTCTTGTTATTATTATTGAGGTTCTCCCTTTAAAAACCATACTATATTAATTAGTAATAATAACGAAAAGGACATAAGAAACAATTTATAATAGTATAATATATATCGACGAATTAGGTGAAGAAGGATATAATAGATTCTATAATCTTAATCTATTATACCCATATAATAGTTTTAATAATGACGAAAGTATAATACAACCTTTCGATTATAGCATATATAATAGTCTTAAATATATTAAAGAGATTACAATATTTAAAAGGAATTTCAACGGGCTAATCAATATTAGTGGTACTGACGATAATAAGTAACTTTTTATAGGTATAAAGGTTATAAGTAATTATAAAGGTATAAAGATCCTAATTATTATTATAAATATTAGGATCATCTATAACCTTTTGTATACTCTTCTTATAAATGGTAGTGATATGTAGAGTAATCATTATAATATTCATATAATTTATTGGAATTTATATTAATAAATGTTTTATTAGTTAGAAACTTTTAAAATCAAGATCTGGAAACGAGATACTCATATTATAATAGAAGTACTTCCTATAAATACGAATACAGATTATAATAGGATTATAAGTAAATTGATATAGGTATTTGATATAATAATTACGAAATAGGTGTACAATAGGACAAAAACGAAGAAAAAGCTTTTAAATATTTACTCTCTTTTTAGGAAGTATTTAAAAGAGTATTATTTCGAAAGTAATAGATTAAGGTTTAAGTTGATAGAGATTAAAGGATAATAAAATAGATATAGAATAAAGTATAATAAGATATCTAAAGGAATATAAAGGGATTTATACTTTATTATAAAGAATAAAATAAATAATAAACAAAAGATTAGATAAGATAAATAAAGAGAAAAAGAGTAAAAAAGATAAAAAGCAAATAAAGAAATATAATTGTTGTAAAATAAAGGTGGGTAATTGTAAAGTTATATTATTATAACGATAATAATATCAATAATAATAAAAATTGTTGTATTATAAAAAAAGGAAAAGGGAATCTATATTATTATATTAGATAGAAATAGATTATATATTATTAATTTATAGAATAAAAATAAAATAATTGTAACAATATTATCTTCAAAAGTATAAATATTATAGACTATAAGTATTGAATAAAACAAATATATAATATAAGCAATTTAATAGGATATTAAAAAGGGATAGATTTTTATATCTTTTTCCTATTTACTTTATTCAATTAGATATAGATATAGGTATATCGCATGATCTTAGTATAGCTATATAGATCGAATTGATTATGAATTTACTACTATTACTACTATATATATAATTTTAAATCATTAGCTTTCTAAAGTGTTTTAAAAGTTGAAATTGCGAACTCTTTATTTTATTAATATACAGGATTATCATTAAAAAGTAAATTCTAATTTATAACTTTTTTATTATTATTTTTAAATAACAATCTGAATATAATAGACTTAATATAATTTAAAGGCCATAAATCTAAAGCTTTTCATTCAGCTAGTATATTATACTCTATTAAACTATTTAATTATACTTTCTAATAGTATATAAAGAAATTAGTCTTTTTAATTACTTTAGAATCTAATAAAGAAACTAATTTATTAAGGTAGTACTTATATACTCTTTTAAAAGATAAGAAAACAAATAAATTAAAAGGCTATAGGATATATGATATATATAATAAAAGAAATAAAAGGTGTATATTATATTTAAAGCACTTATATATAAATTCAATAGTTTTATAATTTCTATACCCGTTTAATATAAGGGGTTTTAGCTTATCTAATGAGGAGGGGGCTGTTTGAAATATAAAGACCTTTTTAAGTCATTCTAGGATAATATTATTTATAATCCATTCATTATCTGTAATAATAAAATGCTACCCTTTATAGGGTTTTAAATCAGCCGGAAATCATTATTATTATACTGATTTTCTTTTTAATATAATAAAAGAATCAAAAGCTTTTCCTATAACTAAGATATACTTTATAAGTAATATTCAAGTTCTAAAATCAAGCTCCTTTTTCTAAATAAAATAATATTCTAAGCTTCTTAGAACTAGTCTATTTAATCTCTAGCCTTCTTATATACTTACTTTATTCATATTATAATAATGTTAAGGTTTAATATAATAAATTGAAAGTAAATTCAATTTTGAAAATTATTAATTAATAATATCGATAATTATATCTTTAATATGTACTAAATCGATTTTAACTTGTTTTTTAATCCTAATCTTTAAATTCCTTTAAAGAAAGTTCTATACTTATTGTTTTCTAAACATAGAATTACTTCTTTTAATATTAAAAAAATACTCCTCAATTTCACAAATTTATTAATATATAAGACTAATATTCAAAGACTCTTGAATTAATATCCAATCTATTAACTTTTTTTTTGTATTGAAGCTATCTTTTGTATATATTACATACCTTTATTATAAAATAGATGACCATTTATATGATTTTAAAGAATAACCCTTGAAATCCTATAATTTAAAGTAGCTTATCGAATTGAATACTTATTCACTATTACATATAAAGCTAAATTAATATCAATTTTAATATATATCTTAAATATAATATAAATAATAATATATTAAAATTTTAAATCAATTAATTTAAGAGTTATAAAATTATTAAAGATTTAAAGTAAGAGGTTGCTTTTTGTAATGAGCTTTTTTGAGGTGGCCTAAAAGAGGGGTGGCCCGAAAATGGGGTACCCGACTTACTTTTGCGGGTTGCAAAGAATATGCATACAACGGTGACTAAGAAATTCGATAGCTAAACCTGGTCTTGGACTCTAAAAAGGAACAGTGATTATGCAAGAAATGATCTGGTAGAAACAGCGGTTAGTGGGAAGGGCATGGAAGGCAAGATTGAATGGAGATAGAGATCAGTATGGGGTCAGTCGTGATTAGCCGGTCGCGTGGGCCAATCTGTAGCGCTGGAAGTGCTTCCATATCAAGACAACTTGAGCCGACGCTTTTTTTTTTTTGAAAATGATGGCTCCAACTGTCCGGAGCACCGAGACATCCATGTTTCCGAAATCTGTGATTGGCGGGTTAATCCGAAGCGGTATGAGAGTAAATTGAAGTCAATTTTAGTGGCGTGACCGCAATTCACCGATATATATATCTTAGCACTACCCCGTAGACAAAGTCAATCCGAGATCAAACCACTCTATTCGTACAATTTTACTCAATAAACAATCGTCACTCTCATCTAATGTTCCACTTCTTCACTCAATTATCAATTTATCTTTCCAGGCAATATCAGTCACGATCATGTCTGAAATTAATTCTGAGTATCCCCATAGGGCATCGCTATCGTTGGTGGCGGTATCGCTGGAATAAATTCAGCTTTGGGCCTCGTGGATCGAGGCATCTTTTGAAAAATATATGGCTGAGACCACATCTTTTCCGAGATTGGTGTTGGTGTTGCATTTGCTCCAAACTCTATTTGCGACATGAAAGTCATGTAAGCCACAGGTACAAGTGTGCCTATTGCGGTCGTATACCGATGGAAAAACCGATGGCTGAATTGGGTGAAGATATGGCCGCGAATGCTAAGATGCACCTCGGGCTAGACGGTCACGTTGTAAATTTCCCTGTTGACAGTGGGGAAACTATGAATTTGGTTGCTTTCAAAAGAACTAAAGAAGGCTAGACAGATCCAAATAAATCCACACTTGCGGCGACTAAGCAAGATGCACTGAGTGAATTTGTTGGTTGGAGGAAGAAAATCACTTTCATTCTTAGTCTGCTCAATGAACATGTTGACATTTGGGCTATCTTTGATATTCTGGACCATTTTGCGTCCACTTATGCCAAAGAAAGAAAGATTTTAACAGAAGATCCAGTACATACAGCCAGTCCTCACCATGGCCCAGGTGCAGGTTTTGCCATTTGAGGACTCTGCTGTATTAGCCGAAATGCTCGCGACGCCGGCCGCAAGAACACATAAGGAGCTGCGTGCAGCGTTTCAAGCCTATGACCTATGCCGACGTCCAAGAATTCAACGGCCTGTGGCTAGTAGTCGACGCACCTAACGGCTCTATGAGTGGCAAGTCGAGGGTGTTGGAGTAGATATTGAGAAGCTTGCAAGGGAGGCACATGAGTGATTTGAGAAAATTGTAAGGGAAAAAAAGACTGCCGAGGCGATGATCAATATCAAGAGTAATTGCAATAGCTTGAGTTTAGAGAGTGATGGATAGAAGGTATCCATAAGATTGATGTAAAAAACCGTAAGGATTGTCATCCATATTTATTGAATTTATAATAACTCGAAACCGTTGCCATAATAAAAGTACGTGTTTATATATCTATACTTTGTTAAGCATAGTATTTTTCATGTATGATAATCGGTCGAAATTAGCATGAGTTGATAATGTGTTACCAGACACGTATTTCCATGGGTGTATGCGATCACATTCAGAACAACGAGACGACGACATCGGCATCGGCCGCTTGATGCGCTGGTTGAGAAGTACTTCGAAGCTTCGCCTGGGTGATATTATTGAATCAACGAACGCGCAGTATAAGGTCAGAAGATTAAGACATCGCTGTGTAAAGAATCGATTAAGTGCATAAGCGAAAAAGAAGCCGGCTAAATTACCTGCTGTCACAATGATAGAGAGCCATGTTGAGCACCCAACTCATATCTTACAGCTACTTGAAAGTCAAACCACCACCGAAGCTGTGCTCACTATTCTTACCACCCTTCGTAACTTTGCCCTCGGTAATACCGGTCTCAAAAGCACAACTTCCCATATCCAGCTTCTTTGCAGGACCAGAAGGGGAGATATCGAAATCAAAAATATCCATGGGCAAACCAAGAGTCGTACATGCTGGTTTCAAATTGTAAGTGGGCGATCTTGTGGCTTAGAAACTTTCGATTGAACTTACCGTTTGGAATATCTACGATTCCAGCGACGTGACCTTGTACTGGTGCACAGGATAACAAGAGATAGATCTGGTAGTCAGAGTATCCAAATCGACGTAGGTACTCGATGCAACGCAAAATAGTCTCGCGGTAGGCTACAGTGACGTCCATGTAGTGCTTTCGTGTTTCGTTAGTAGCCAGAATCACTACACAGACTTGCAATACTACGTACCTGCTTACCATGGTGGTCTACACTGAACCCTTCAAAGGTAAGGTATCTTCCTGGTCCGTAATGGGGCTCGACGGGGCCGGGTAAGTAGAGTGGTGATTTCATACCAAGATCTGCTATACCATTTTTCATCACCTTAAAATTGATGGTGATGACACCGGACATCTCAATGGCACCGCAAAATGAGATTTCACCGTCGCCCTCTGATTTCACAATTATGACTTTGTAATGATAAACAACAAAGAGAACCACTTACGAGAGAAATGGAGATCCCCAACAGAGAACTTGGCTCCTTTAACATGTACTGGAAGGTAGACCTTATCATGTCGTCAGCATTGATCTTCAATCATTTCGTTACTAGGTAATCTGACCTTGCTTCCTCTGCTCAAATTCTTGATGTCGCAATTTCCACCATGTTCGGGACGACCTAACAAATATTAACATTTGAACAGCAATTTGGGACCACATGTGATCATAATACCTGGGATCGTTCTTGCGCCTTCGCGGCCAATCTTTGTTTTGATGTCCTCAGATGCCGAACCAGCATGCACGTTTTGGGGGTTAGGTGGTTGAGCAACGATCCTGTCCAGCTTGTTGGCAGCGATCAATTCACCCTCCCGTTTATTCCATGTGGCTAGAACCTATAATCCATCATCAGAACATGGAGATTTGGAAGGGACAGTGTGAAATAAATGGCGAATCGGTCGGGATATTTATAGTCTAAACGTAGTAAACCTTTGAGAACCTTCAACCTTGGAAAATATTACGGGCTCTTTGGATATAGCATGGCATCTTGAAATCGACCTGCCACATCCCAAGTAATTTCAACAACTGTACTAGCTTCTAAGACCAGGAATACTTTGTTCTGGGACTGTGGCCCCGACTGTGCGAGTCACTGGATTCAACTGTTGCTGAAGTGCTCCTGCGAGAATGGGAGAAAGAGTAAAAGTGATAGCTTAGGAACCTACCTCTGCAGATGGTGCACAGCCAAGAATACCAGGGTGAATCAATCCAGGAAATTTGACATGAGGAATATGTCGCGATGAGCAATAGATCCCCTCGAAATCCCAAATAGCCTTAGCTCTATATCACCACTCATTAGTTCTAAAAGCCAGTGATCAATCGAAATTAGACATACGCCGATGGGTAAAGTTCATCCAGGAAACCACCTCCATTTTCTTTGGCGAAGACACCTAGGCAGTCAACGTCAATATCAAATCTATTGAAACTGCTTGAACAAGTTGTTGCTCACCGGTGCTATACGCGATCAGTAATCAGTAAGCGATGTAGATGTGACATTGATTGCAAGTGACTTACAAGCCCCAAGGATGCTCTTGATGTGGCTGTACATCCATAATTTCAACAAGCAATACATCTCCTGGCTCTGCTGTCTCGATTTCAAATGGCCCAGATAAATAGTGGATCTTGGTCAGATCGACATTTTTTACATCATCTGCACTGTCATCGTTCTCTTCAGCAGCCATGAGTAAATAATTACGAAGACAATGACGTGAGTCGACAGCTTACTGATTTGACCTCCAGTCCAGTCAACCTTTAGCAACGATTAGCCACTGCTTTGAAAAGGATTACGGTGCAAGGGGCACTTACACATTCTATCTTAACGGTTTCACCGTTCTTGATGGTGTCAGCGAATGGGATATCTGGATGCCATCTGTTATGAAGCTTCGGTTGACTTTCTGCAGGTTCATCGAGTGAAACCTTGCAGATATTGCGGATTTCTGATCGACCCATTGTATCTAGTTGAATATCGAGTTGCAATAGTTACAGATGGGAGAATGAAGTAAGGTGTCGATTACGTTCAGGAATTTGTTGTGAAAAGAGAAGAAGGCCAGATGAAATTTGACGATGTGGTCAAAAGTGAAATGAACAGGGAGAAAGCACTAACTATCACTTACTCTTATACTTTAGGTTACCTAATAGATAGTCAACCGAAAATGGGATATAATTACTATCAATTCCTATTAATTTCTAGATACAGATAAAAATCCAGGGAGTTGATCACAGAAGAGACGCAAGAAATGATAAGAAAAAGGACGTTCGGAAGCTCTTATCGCAAATTACAAATTACAAATTACCCCTCCCCTCTCAGATGGATCGAACCAATCATCTGTGCAGACCAATCTATGTGGCACTCGAATCAAGAGAGTATGGGGATTCGGAGGAATGCGCGGGGTTCATCGGCTTGGAAAATATGTATGATGCCGAGAATTTCAAAAGAAAGGGAATCATGCGACTGTCTCGGGAAGTTCATGATGGCTCAAGTGTGCCTAGCATGAGGTTGGAGTTTGGCCATAGAATGTGGCATGATTAATGTCTAGTTAGCTGCAGTATACAGTCTTACACAGATGTTTCTTAGTATTTTACCCTCAATCTGCTTGGTAACCGTAGAACATGGCAAACGTTTTGGTCATGCTGTCAAGATAACTGGGCGATTTTGCATGCTACCGAGCTCGGTCATACGCTCTCTATTTATACCATCCATCCATTACCGTGATCTTAAATCGCTGTACGGCGGAGGCACTTCTGTGGCCGATGACGAAGCTTTCTCGCTTGAAACGCCCTGCGTGACTTCATTCCTACCGGACGTATTCAAAGAATCTAATTGGTCGAGCTTGAGGTTCAAGAATTCATGCTTGTTCTTCCACTTTTGTTGGCTAGCAGCAAACTCGTCCTCTTGTCCAGCAGGTGGAGGAGGGTCGGTAATCTTGGTAATAAGATATGCCGTGGATGCTTCTGCAATACCATAGACAAGTACACCGAGCAGAGGGATTCGAAGGAATATATAGAAGCCGATACCAAAGCCAAACAAGAGTCCTTCTCGATCATGAAACCAATTCTTCTTTTGTTCCTTGGTAAATTTGATACGAGCAAAGTATGGCTCAAGCTAGACTAGTCAGATGCGATTCAAATCACTACAACGATTCAGGACTCACCAGTTCACGCATCAAACTGCGTGATGAGAAGTAACTCTGGAGAAAGATTACGAGATATCTGCGAGGCAAAAAGATACCCGTGCCAAACACTATAAGGCCAGGACCAAGTCCTGCGGCTCTAAGGACTGTTAGTATAATACATATCATATTTTGATTGGGTTTCGTACTTATTGAATGTATAGAAACTGGCAGCCGGAAGCACGAATCTTCCCAGGATCGGAACGTAGGATAGAGCATATACTGCCAACGAGAGCCCCGCCTTCTTTCCAAACTTTATCAAAAACATGGACATGTTCTCTGCTGTGCTTGTTTTATGGGTTGTGCCATCTCTCTTAGGATATCGTCGTAGATTTGGATAATATTCGTCTCTTAGTGTGGACCGTTCTTCTCCTTTGTGTTTCTCGTAATACGTTTCGTCAACGAACGCGAGGCTCATCATGAACCTGTAGTGATTAGTACAGGATCGCGATTCAATGGGATTTGTGCGCTCGCACCGAGATACTCACATGTTGTCAAGGGTTGGAGTGACTCGACTTAGTATACTCATGAGAAAGAACGGAACCTGTAAAACATGATTCTGGATAAGGTCTAAGCCCTCAACAATTCTGTTGTCGAAGGTAGAGGCTCCGAGGTCTACAAAAAATGACATGAGCCATAAGAAGACTCTCACACCAAAAATCTGCTACATGTTAGCAGGCAGCATGACGCGCCGAAGTATGGCGAGAAGTCGTACGGGGATCTCTATAGCTAATCGAATTACGACGCCTGCCAAAACTGCGAGAGCAGCCTGCTTGTAATGCTCCGAAGTAAACAATTGCGGATTTCGCAGAGCCCTTAGAGCTATAAAGCAGCCAGTCAGCACTGTATCTCAATGTACAACATGGTATTATTGTTGTTGTGCTGTGAGACTGACCTCCCACAATTGTCAATTGGGCTCCTCGCAGAATAGCGTTCAAATCGAAATGATCGATAGACAATTTCTCCTTCAATTCATCACGATTTTTGAAAGGCTTCTGCAACCTTTCTGAATCCATATTTGCCTCGCCTTTACTTGAGTGGACGATAGTTGAATATCGAAGGTTGAATGAAAGATGAGAAGGATGTGGATGTATCTGCCTTTTTGCTTGTTCTTATTGAGCTATTGGATATGGACCTGGAGGTAGGAGTAGCAGAAGGAGGAGTAGCAGCAGTAGGAGTAGCAGAAGTAGGAGTAGTATACATTACACAATTTTACCCCCCTCAATCCCGGTAATACGCTGCATACGACAGCTCAGAGCTCTCTAATAAGAAGCTACAACATTCCTAGTTCGGCTTATGCGACGTCATCATTTTGAACCCCTCATTGTCCATTATTCATTGTTGGGGTGTTCTCCAAAGTCCCGTAGATATATATACGAAGTATTACTGAGTCTATGAGTGGAAAAGAAATACCAGCAATGGTCCATCGGATATAGCTCCGTATACTGTTCATTGACATCTTTCAGTCTTTGGGGCTTTGGCCACTTCTACGGTAAAGTCCTACTCCTACTGTACCGTCTACCTACAACCTACCTAGGTACCTAATATGACCCAGATACCCATCAACGAGGCTCTTCAAGTATCTTGTACCGGTACATCTGCATCCAGTGCATCCATTCCATCCATTCCATCCATTGCATCCATTGCATCCATTGCATCCATCGCATCCATCGCATCCATTTCATCCATTTCATCCATTCGTTACACGTTGGTGGAAACGGTTAATACCATACCATTCCTACATCGTAATTGTTGGGGGAGCGTCTGAAATTGCTTTGGAACAGCAAGTTGAAGGTCCGGGGCACATGTTACTTCCTTCCTTCCTTGGATCACTCCACTGTCTGATCCCCCACCACAAGCTGCAACTCTAGCTATATTACTTTACTGTATGCTCCGTGCAATGCAATCCGCCAATGCCCGAACTCAATCAATCTCCAGGAAATTGAAACAATGTGACTTTGACTCAGTGGTAAATTCGTACCGTATATCCTCCGAAATCGTACATGTTGGATAAATCCTGACTTTTAGGAGGTGAGAGTATGTGTTGGAGGCAACATTGTAAGCGCGCCGTCTCGTCATAGATGTTTAGTACAATATACAATATATACCTGCCGCTATACACACTAGGTATATCTACAACTATAAACTTCCTTGCTTCTAGCCACCACCATCAATAGTCCCTTCTACTGTCCCGCGTACACATACTCGCACATCTTTAAATTCACTACTCTACACTCTTTCTCGAAATTTCACCCCAAGAAATACCGGTAGAATTGTCAGGAAGCCACCTTTAGGTCATACGTGGAACTGCCTGTACCGTCTTGAAACTCGCCGAATCTAACTGCGACAGCTTGCGACATACAACTCCATATCTCAAATTTGCATTTATTTTCGACGTTCAAAAAAAAAGACCGTCTCTTATCGCGCAAATGTGCAATACCATGATGGTCATCAGACAGGAAATATAAAAAGGAAATCGGCTCATATTGCCAATGGCTTATTCTTCGTTATCGACACGCGCTGTGTCTGTTTCTGATCGATCAATATCGACTCCTGATCCCCAAATCGAGACACTTTATAGTGTCGATGGCGCCCGCATCATATCTTTTTCAATACCATCGCAAACTTCATCGCGACCGAGCTCGAGTAATGGATCTGCGAAGGAAAATACGGAAATAGGTTCCTCTTTGAGGTGGTCGTCCCCAGGGGAAAGGACAATCGCAGTTGGTACGCGTTTTGTGGCAATTTTGTGTTCGCTCTAGGAATGAATGCTCATGCTGATGTGAGATTTGCAGGCACCTTGCGCATCTATAGAGCTCCCGAATCTGTCGCGTTTTTCAATTGCCAGAAAGCTTTAAAGCCGATATTACCTCGAAGTCAATGTTGGTTTGTCTCGGACGATGGATCTAGCAAATTTGTGTTGCAAGTACGAAGGCTACAGGAGTACTGGCGAATCGAGATAAGCAACACAACTCCCGAAGAAATCAAGCAAGGAGAAGAACTCAAGAAGATATTGGCGCAAGTATTGTTATATGAAAAGACTCCTTGTCCGTTCCAAAGAATGTTTACAGTTGATCTTCCGATTGCTCTGCAAATACCTACCACGCAAAAACCGTGGAAGCCAGTACAAAGATCATCATCTAGAATTCCTTTACCTAGGGGCGACCTTTATCCTATTGCTTTGAAGTCAACCTCGTTGGCCCCAAACTCGCCAAAGCTGTCATGCAGAAGAACCCGCTCTTCTTCCCCACTTCAGACTTCTGCATTGCATCGATCCGTGGCCAGCCCCACAGATACATGCATATCAGACTTGCAATTCCAAGAAGAAACGCCAGAAACATCTGTAGCCAAATCAACGAATCCAACAGTACATTCGCCAATATGCCCACTAGAAACTCTTGCAGCCGAACCTCATCCAACAGAATATGGTGTAGCCTCATCAGAATCTATAGTTACCGCCTTGTCCCGTACAGAGGTTGTCGGGGGTGGTAATAGTGACTCAACGGATGTCTCTGATGCTACAGTTAAAACTCCCGCTCAATCGCCACGTTCGCAATCACTTCCTGGCTCCAGAAGTCCCTCACAAGTGTTACATCACTGTAGTCGATCGATCACGGCCCCTCCTGTCCTCTCTCTAGTCACGAGTCCACCCTCAAAGCGTCGAAATAGGTCTCCAGTGGGAAAAATTGCGGTTGGTGACCCTGAATCAGAGCTCTCATCAAGCGTCGATTCATTTCACTCTACACAGTCATGGCACTCTCCACTTGATGTACCACCGTCACCGCCCCTGTCCGGTCCACCTTCACCTATCACTTTTCCCTACCCTCACGATAATATCGTCCTTCCAAAGAAGGTACACCCTACGCAAGCAATCTCACAGCTCAATGCAACCCCCGAAACACATGGAGTATGGCACACACCTTCACTCATTAGTACATCTCCTCGAAGTTTGTCACCTGCTCCAAAGACACCGACTTTGGTCAATGACTGCGGCAAGTCTGAAGATGAACCCTTTGAGGCCAAAACTCCTTCACCACCAAGATTGAGACAACGTGGTACTACAGGTAGCAACTCACGAAGAAGAACACTATCCCCTCTCCCTGCTGCAGTAAATCTGTTTTCTCCACCACCGGGATCACGGCGACTACAAACCGCTCGACATCTTCCAACAGCCATCATCCAAAAGACATGTGAAATTCTTTTGAGTCCTCCAAGTCATTTACTGCAAGTTATGATCAATGTTGCATCTAAAATTGCAGCGGGTGAATGGAGAGGGGTGCTACTCGGTGAAGGAGAGGCCGTACATTGGGATTTCACCGAAGACGAATATCATGGCGAAGATTGGACTGAGGATGACTTTGGATTTAGTCTCACACACACGCCTTCAAGACGAAGGGAGGTTTCCTCACAATCCAACAGGGATACGACTTCCAGCGAGAGTTGGGAGGTCGATTAGGATTCTGTTTGTACACTATAAACCCACCATTTGTACTACTGTGATTTTGTAATTGGGGCTTGGTATAAATTGTATCAAAGATGATTTACTAGGAGTATTAGTGGGAAGGTCATGCAATCATCAATTTGGTTGAAGTGGTGCTTATGATTTTGACGGGCTTAATTCGGACATGGTTTGGGCATGTATAGATAGTATGGATATGATGCATTAATATTATGGAATACGCCATATAATAGATCATTTGGGTCAACTTTTCAAATGAAGATATCTATTTTCATGAAAAAATGTGCGTGATCTAATGTTGTGGATTTGGTGTCATGGAAGGAGGAGAATGGACATAAACGGCGTCTTGACTTTACAGAGGTCATGTTCGATTAGAGATTCGCCTAAAGAGTAATGAGTGTATGGATCTCAACCAATGAGGTTCTACTTGGTAGCTGTCACTACCTCTTGCTTTTCTACTCATACTTCACGGCGATAAATTTTATCTTTATGCTATCATCGTTCATGTCCTGCTCTGATCTCCTGCATTTTCAATCTTGTCGGTCTCCACTTCCACACACGTCATTCAAGACCTCGGCTTTCACCCGAATCACTAAAGTCGTCTCATTTGAGTGAAGGCACGTATTATAGAATCATGGCATGTATGTGAACGATGATTGACAAGTCGATGGCATCGAGATTAATCTGAAGGTATCTATCCACGCTTTTCACTTTCTTCAATTCAACCTTTACCATACTTGAAGGTCCTTTCCACTACCCTGGAAATCCTCCCCTGGCCATCTTTCTCGCTCTTCCCTCTCTACGATTGTGATTAGCTCTCGATCCCTTATTCGCTTCTTTCTTCTGTCTAGCGACGTCAGTCTCCTTATCACCACTCGTACCCGCCACGTTTCCATTGCCTCTTCCCCCTCTTCCCCCACCACCTCTCCCACCTCTAGCCTGTCCTCTAATTCTGCCTCCTCTACCCCTATTGCCAATCCCATTCCCGTCTTCCTCCCCTTCAACAGCCTTCCATGACATGCTCTCTAGACTTGTCTGCTCTCCCTTAAACGTAGCGAATCGAGTTTCGAGTCGTCGCATTTGCCTAGGGTCACGGGAAAGCATGACTGCCCACCCCTCGAGTGCTTCGTCAGTCATGCCTGTATCTTGTCTTATAGCTGCTCTTTCTTTGCTTCTACGAGTGGTTGCATCTCTAGCAAAGATGCTTGGTGATGACTTGTAAGCACGGAAGAGGGCTTCGTCGTGTGCACTCTGTTGTGAGTTGTTCTCAGGGTTGAATTCTTCGGGGGTGGCGGAATCAACTGTTCCGCCGACATCAGCGACATCATATGTATCGTCTCTTTCATCATCGTCAGAATCGAATGCAGCGAGTGCCGAAAGAATCGCGGCTTTATTAGGAGCGGTGGAGCGATCTTGGAGCACATCATCGGCTGTTTGATTGGGGTTGCGACGGCCGAAATGCAGGCGAGATGCGTCAACCGTGAGCTGGTCAAGTTCGTCATCATCAAAGATATTGCGGCGAGTAGGAAGTTGCGGGGGAGTTGAATGAGGTACTAGGTCGGCGTGACTTGCAGATGGTTGGTTAGGTAATTCGCTATGAAAATGGTTAGAGTAATGACTTTGCCAGAATGAGAATACATACAACTCCTCATATCGATCAGCATTCTTCAAACTTGCTGGTAAGGATCCATCCAGAAGGTGAGATATGACTTCCTCTGTATTATCATTATATTCTTCAAGTAACTTCACAATAAAGCCTGATCCAAGATCTGGGAATAGATCCTGGACCTGTGATATGAGACTCATCTGATGAACGTGTACACTACTATTTTCATGATCATCAGTGTCAGCCAATCCCTTGCCTTTGTTGAGTCTCTTCTTGACATGGCGTAGAGGCCGACCGCTACTTCCAGGTTTACGAAAGCCATGTAGAGTAGCAAACACAGACTTTGCTCTGCTCGACCCCGAGCCGCTAGCATCGATTCTTTGTTGAAGTTGCTTCAAGACAGGTGTTACAGTGACCAACTCAGCAACCAACGAGTCATTCACATTGGTTGGACCTTTTTTATGCGCTTCAGCCGCAGCACTCAAGGAATAAAGTTGGTCGACGAGTGATGAAAATCTTGGTTTGGGGCCTTCTGTAAGCCCAATGATACAAAGATAGATAGTAGAGATGATGACCTTTCGTAGTGGTGGATTCATCAGCTTGTAACAACTTGTCAGAGCATCCACGAAATCATCCCCAGCTATGAAGAATGAAGCTGCTTCAGGAGAAGCGTGTAACAGTTGATTTAATCGCCTCAGCTGAATTTCCGAACCTTTGAGATCTCCTTTGATCCCAGCATCCAGTTCTTCCGTCAACAAGCTTTTGACACTGCCCAGCGAGCCTTCGATTATTGAAGAGTGCTTGCTCCATGCTAATGTTGTGACTTTGCTGCCCTTTTCCTTCCCATACACTTTACATACATCCGCGAGAACTTCCCAACGCAGTAACGATTCAGGCGACTTGTCAACGCCAACCAGTCTATAGAACAAGAGATATGCTTGCTTGCGAAGTTGCTTGGTCTTTGAGGGATGGGCTAACGAGTTTTCGTCATGTGATAGAGCTGTTTCGGCAAAGTAGGATGCTAGGAAGTTCGGTAGGGATTCATCTTTTGCTGATATCCGTACAAAATCCGGAGATGGTATTGATAGATGTGCTTCGGTCAGAGATATCCAGGCATCTAAGCAAGCTTCCCACTCCTCCGGTAGCATATTTGACCTCCATGATAGTTTGGGATATGGAACTACAGGTGGGAGAAGTATTGATTTTGAAGCCATCTCTGAATTCTGATGTAGTATCGGTAAAATGGGGAGGAATTGTGAACTCGTGAAATAGGATGATATTTTGGGGCTAGGTCAATAGGTGACAGTAGGTCTTGTATGGTACACCAATGCTTTCCTCGTCTGGTCAATTAATATGATGGAAACTTAAATAAGCCAAAATGGAATGGAAAGTTTTGATCGTCTAGTACTTTTAAGAGATATGTGTTTGCGAGTGAAAGGAAGAAAGTGCAATCGAAGAATTTAAATGTATCAAAATATGTACAATTAATGCTCTCGCCGTTTGACTCAACATGTAGGTATACCATCAAATTACTTCTGCTGCTACTACACTCGGCCGCACTTGTCAACTTGACCCACCTATCAAATCAATGATGATGGCATCTTGGACGAAAAATATATAGGTGCCTTAAATTGAAGTGGTATGCCATGTAGAAGACTTTAAGGCATCAACATTCACGAAACCTCACAGGTGTGATCCCCAACCAATAGAATTCATTCGTTTAACCCTGCAATGCCAAGACTTTCACCCACAGTTGTCGTGAATCTTCAAATTTATCTAATCCTCGCGCCAAATTTCTAAACCCTTTTTTCTACGACCACCTTCATCACTTTGCCGCAACTGGAACCATCGTTCGAGTCTTGAAGGAATAATATCAATCAATAGAATCCCATTCTATCAATCCATTCAACCTATCAGCAAACATGTCTTACAACAAGGAGAAGGATTTCGCCGGTGAAGGCCCAGTATGTTTTCTCCAAATACATTCAAAATCCCCCCCCCCTCGTTTGCGCGAAGGCCAAACGGCATATCGGATAAGAAATATAGAATATGCAATTAACCATTTCCCCTCTCACAGAAAACCCACAAGATCAGAATCACCCTCACCTCCAAGAAGGTTGAGTCCCTCGAGAAGGTCTGCCGTGAGCTCATCGAGCGTGCCAAGGGAAAGGATCTCCGCATCAAGGGACCAGTCCGTCTTCCAACTCAAACCTTGAAGGTCACCACCCGTAAAACCCCTTGTGGTGAAGGTTCCAAGACCTGGGATTGCTTCGAGATGAGAATCCACAAGCGTCTCATTGAGTACGTCTCCCCCGCATTCTTTACAATTGGAAATCTGGCAGAAGATCGAGAGAGAGGCCTAGAGAAATCTAAAAAGAGAATAATATACTAACTGCTCAATAGTCTTAACGCCCCTACCGAGGTTGTCAAGCAAATCATCATCAACATCGAAGCTGGTGTTGAGGTTGAGGTTACCATCGCTGCATAAATTAGTTGAATGTGATGAGAAAGGGAGGAAATGACGGTGAAGAAATAGGTCGACCACTTTATGAAGGTAGACAATTGAACGCTGTTCCTCTCATTTATTGATACTCTCCATGATACTTGTATGATGCTTTGTGACCGAGATGTATACTGCCAATGGGGATTTCTATTGATGGATGTTGATGTATTGCTACGAATCCATCGCATGCGGAAAATATATAGCATCCAATCTCCTCTTTCTAGTGTATCCTTGGGGCAACCCTATACTATGGAAAAATCACATTCGACTTTCAATTGCCTCTAGCCAATACAGCTTTCCCTTGCCCTGTCGTCATTTTTATAGGCAGTCTCATGTCTACGCCTATGCACATCTCCAATCCTCTACGATCCATTGCACCATTCTCCTCACCATCATCCACACTCATCTCAAGCTTCAATATACTCAAACTCCACGAACACTCATCTCCCCATCTCCAAGCATCCCAAGACAACAAGTCCCCGCCACCAAAGGACATCTCATACTTAAGGTAAAGCACAATAGCTTTCTAACATAACAATCTTCGTAGATCATCAACTCTTATCCTATCCCCCATCCACTCTCTTCTGCTCACCTTTTCACCTCCTCACCTACCTCTTCAAACCCAAACTCAAACTCAGACTCCAATCCAACTCAACCCACTAAATCAATATTGTCTTTGAGTCTTTGAGTCTTTGAGTCTTTGAGTCTTCGAGTCTTCTACTCTCCCCTTCACCCCATAATCTCACCATCTCCCAATTAAAACCCCCTCCTCCAGGCCCTAGGAAAAGAATACTTATTTACCTACCTACCCACCTACCTAAAATCACACTACCCCTTAGAACCGAAGCGAACCGGACCGAACCGAATCAACCCAAACCAAGCCAACCACATCATTCATCCATCCATCCATCCATCCATCCACCACCACACCACCACACAACCAGAAAAGCAACTACACAAGTAGAAATCTTTCTATTTCCAAGCTCTCTAAATTTCCCGGTCTCCACTATCTCGTCTACAAGACATATGTATATATACTTGCTTCAAGAGCACTTGTGAAAGACACCTACTCTCCTCTTCCTTCAGACATGAATGATATGGTAAGAGAAGGAATTCCCAAGTTCCAGATCCAGCTTTCATATCCCAACTCTCTACGACTCCTGCAATCCCAACTTCGAGTTCTGTTCAAACCTACGCTTGATTCCTTGATATTTTGAACGAGAGACATTGATACAACCAATTGCGGGCTGTTGTTTGCATCGCTAAATTGATACCGGCTCCTATGCCGCCTTCGATTAATATCGAAACCTCGAGGTCCAGATTACTCAAGCCCCCGAATAGATCCCATCACCACATCACGAAGCATACGAAACAAATTAAGACCAAAAAATCCCCGATTGTTGTCATCATTCAGGTAGGTATCGTGATTTCTCTCTTTTCTCCCTCCAAATAAAAACTACAATATGTACAATTGAAAAGTATCTCCATTCTATCATCAGGCTCCCAGCACCATTTTGCGTCCTCAGCCCATCTAACCTCCGCACCACAAACCGCGCGCAGTATATACTCGGAGCCTGGTACCCAACAGTCGGCTCTCAACAGTATGAAATACACTCATGTTTTATCTCAGATTTCCATTCATCAATCCTTTCCACTCCATCAAGTACAATAATAGCAGAAAAAGATTTTGTATGTTCACACCACATGTATGTACATATTGGTCACAAACCCCAAAGAACGCCGTGAATACTCCAAAGGTTAGATCAGATCGTCATTCAGGTCTGCGTGAGAATTTAGACCAAGCCAGCTGCTACATCAGAAGGAGCATTTCCAAGGTATCCCCAGGATTGTTCCGCCATGAAAAGAGCTGCGGTGTTGACCTTCCAGTAATCATTGAATGTACTGAAAAGGAAGACGTTGGATGCGTTGGATGCAAAAAGATCCTTGATAGCTGCCATAGCAGTGGTCTGCGCTTCAGGAGAGGCGACAGCCTGATCGTGAGATGTTCCAGCGGATGGCCATCCGGTCTCAGTGATCACAATGTCCATATCAGGGTTGGACAAGAGGGCTCTCAACTCGGAGATTTGGGTGCTAAGGAAGGTACCAGCAGCATCGGCGGCCGTGTTAGTATCGAAGAAAGGATGGCAATTGACAGCGCAATAATCAACATTGTCGCAAAGACTTGGGTAAAGCTTAGTGGCAGCCAAGGTATCAACGGCTACAACCTTTCCAGAGTAGTTGGCAGCAGAAAGGATAGATTTAGCAGTAGCGACGGCACTGGCAACACCAGCAGCATCAGTCACACCGTTGTTGACCCACTCGTTTCCGATGGAGATGGTAGTAATCAAACTCCAGTCACCATCAACAGCATCGACAATTGCTTGAGTTTCGGATGAAACCTCAGCGAAATCATATACACCAGCAAAGATCTTGAAACCATACTTCTTGGCGGCTACCAAAGTAGTAGCTACTTGGTTGCAATCTGTTCCGTAGATACGGACGGTAGAGTACGATGATGGAATGGCGGCAAAATCCTGGTTCACTTGGTCTTGAGTCTTGCAATTGTTATTGGCCATGTAAGGAGAGTATGCGAATCCATATCCTCCAGATGATGCAGCGACAGCTGAAGTGGATGCGGCTGCAGCGGAAGAAGTGGTGGAAGAGCTCGAAGACGCTGGGACCGAAACAACGGCAGCGCTGCTAGAGGAGCTGACAACGGGAGCAGCAGCACTGGTAGAAGTAGAGGCAATAGGGGAAGCAGAACTAGTGTAAGCTACAGAAACTGCGGAGGCGGCGACAGAGACCTCTACACTTGGAGCTTGAGCTGCTGGTGTGCTTACAGCAGCGGCGGTGGTTTGAGTCGATGGTTGAACGGCAACAGCGGCGGCAGCTTGAACATCGGCAGCTGGAGTAGTGGTAGCGGTGGCACTCGAGGTAGCGACAGATGGGTTCGATTGATAGATGGTCGTGGGTTCGTTGTCAAGATATTCGGTAGTAGTCGAAAGAGGGGTACCGTCGGTGCTAACATAAATGATGACTTCTGGAACCTCGGTAGCCTCGACGACGACGGTATCAATCACTGTAACCAAGTTTCTCTTGTCATGAATTGCCCGGTGAGCATTGTGACGGTCTGTGATGTGTTAATAAGTATCATGAGAGTGGATTGCGCCAGCGAATACATACTGAATGGTTGAGCCAAAGTCAATTGGACAAGGGAGAAACCCGCGAGGGACAAGATGGCGCTCTTCATATTGAATGTGATATTGGGAGAAAGACTGTGTTGGGTTGAAAGTCGAAATAGATTTTATCTATTGCCGGCCAGCGGTTAGTATAAGGTTCAATGTAAAGTTGACAAAATAAACAAAAAGAAGACGAGGAATGAAGTATTTGATCTGAGTTCGTGAGAAGGACAAGATCCAAGATCTTGTAGTCAAATAAACTCCTTAGGCAGGGCAGGAAATTCCATGTTGATCTCTAGAACTTTAGGACCTTCAAGGCATGCATTGAGAATGGCCTGGTGAAGTTTGATAACAGGAACGAAATCAACCGACCTTAGATTTCGAGGTCGTTGGAATGTAGATATGGTCTTGAGAATGTTCTCGTCAAGAAGGCTTAGTCTCAATTGGGTATCAACCAACGACGACAGGAATGTAGTGTTTTCTTGGTAGTAATCGAAATGAGTGAGTGACTTCGATCTCGAGGTTTCAAGTTATGAATGAGTGTTGGGCAAATAAATGCAAGCAATAAGCACGGCAAATTTTGCAATTGTAATTGTCGAATCTATTTCTGAAAGACGTCTGGGTCCAAGAAATCAATGGAAAGGAGGGTTATGAGATTTGACTGATTGTCAAATCGTCGTTGAGAGAGAGAGAGAGAGAGAGAGAGAGAGAGTGTGTGTGTGTGTGTGTGTGTGTATATGTTTGTACGTGTGGATATTGAAGGATAGTGATGAGAAATCGAAGATCAATTCGAATTTCTAAAAAGAGATTAGAGACTTTATTAATTCTGGTGGTAGAGAATGATGATAAAATCCCAAGTCGAGGAAGTAACCAACGATAGAGATTAATATGGTTGTCGGAGGAGGAGGAGGAGGCTTGGTTTTGTTTACGGAAGCACTTACTTATTATCTCAGGTATGGATTCAGGTAACAAGATGAGGTTGACGTTCCTTTTTTATTTTATTTTAATTTACTACTCCACTCCGTAATTCACTACAAAGAAAGTGGAGAGTAAGATTTTTTTGGTTGGTGTTTACTGTTAAGAAGTGAAGGTCCAATCAAGTGAAGGTGAAGTACGATGTAAAAGAAAGGTGAGGAAGGTAAGGAAGGTAAGCAAGGTAAGAAAGGTAAAGAAAGGTAAGAAAGAAAAGGAAAGATCAAGAAATGATCAAAGTCCAAGTCGAATTCAATCCGAACAACGGTACCACGGGATGATGGTGGAGGTTGACCGGGGATGATGAGAGAGAGAAACAAATTGACGATGAGATTGGACGAAATAGGAAAGAGAAGCAGCCTTTCCCGTATCTATGAAGATCACAAAGTCTAGACGATGAGAAAGACCAACTTTCTTTTCCCCGGTCAAGGTAAATTTGAGGAATAATACTGTGTGTGTACTCTGTAGAGTTTGGAGAATATAAGATATAAGATACAAGACATAAGATATAAATAATGAATTATGAGTTATAACTTACAAAGTCTAAAGACTGAAGTCTAAACATTACCTAGTAATGACGGAAGATTGTTCAGAGTGAAGGCGGCATGACGAGGACATGTATGGGGTAACAGAAAAATAGAACAAACATATGGGGTCTTGGACTCTTCATTCTGTTTTGGAAAAGAGAGAGAATAGAGAAGAGAAGGGAAGGAAAGGAAAGGAAAGGTTCATCCCAACTTCATCACCTCAAGTCCTCAAGGTCAGAAGCCCTCGATGAAGACTCCAAACTCCAGAGTCTAGAGCGACCACATGAACGAACTCTCTTTTGACAGTTTGAAATGAAATGGAAGATCCATAAAGTGGATGAAACAAGAATTTCTGAGTGCTACAACTAACAACTACAAATCATTTACCACCTCTTTTCATATTAATATAGAGTATTGAGTATTAATATATATCCACTTCATATATCATGGTAATATATGTTAACGCTTTCTGACTGTACTTACTTTATGGTACAGATCCAATCAATAATATTAGAATTCCTTCTCATCCCATCTCCAACTTACAGATCACTCTGAGTTGGATCCTGACTCTGATCATTCTGTTCTTCTCGACTTTTGCACCACACCCCCTTTTCCCTTCAAAGTCGGAAATCTGTATCTTAATTTTCATCTCATCTTTTGGTGTACCTACTCGTAATCTTATCACACATACCTACCCCCGAATTTGTGAAACTTACTATTATGCAATGCGTATCCCCGAACAACAACCTTATATAAATTATTCCGTCAACGTTGCTGCAACTTGCTTGGGTATCATCAGTAGTTGTTCAATGTCGTGTTCGGCCAAGACTTAAAAGCTTAAGAGAACCTTCTTTTTCCCGACCTTTCCTTCCCCCTTTCCACTTTTCGAGTATGACCTACCCATACCATTTCACCAGGTTACCCACCAAACCTCACCAGACCACGCAGACAAAAACTTTTCGTTCGCAAACTTACAAGTGAGAGCCCTTTCCCAAAGAAATTGTGGAAACAGGAACCTTATCCACACCCACCTACCTACTCAAGACTCAAGAGATCCCAGCAATCGCCCAGGACCTACGTGGTCCTTAATCAAACGACCCCCTTCCTAGTACCTACTCGTGTGAGCCTGAATTCGCCCCTAGAGCACAACCTATTGGAACCATTCCTCACACAACCCTTCCCCCAGCCGCCGAACGAGTAATCTTCAGATCCCGGCCGCCGGTTGGTGTGTATATGTCAGGTACAGACTGCAGAACAGGGCTGCAGCAATCCTTACCACGGGCCTCCGATTGGATCGAGATGTGCGCTCATAAGAATGGGTCTCCTTCCTTATTATTGTAAGACGTAACCGATGGATGAACGAACATTGGCGATGGGAAAGAATGGGCACAAGAAAATCTTCCGAGCCCGATTGCAACATCATTTTTGTGCAAATCTGAATGTACTCCCCCACGGTGATCTTGAGTCTTGAGTCTTGAGTCTTGAGTTCTGGTGGTAACATTGTTTCATCCAATTGATTCTGATGCTATGAATTGAATTGAATTGAACTGAATTGAATTGAATAAACATGCCATACGCGATGTGATGTATTTCAATTCATTGAGGTAGGTATGTGAGTGTGTTTGAGTGTGTATGAGTGTGTATGTGCACATGTATCATGTACTAGCTCTGGTCAGTATGTCAGTCATAGGAACACACGACAGTCCGGACTTATCCGTGAAAGCCCCCTAGTTCCAACTTCCCAGTCACCTCCTAGTACACTTTCATGCCCTGCCAGGCTGCAAACTCTATCACTCTGCCCTAAAATTTCATTATAGCGGCAATCAACAAGCCCATAAGGCGCCAAGTCTTTCCTTCCAGAATCCAGACTTCTGTTTGTTCAATTGTTGTCCTTTCAGGTACCATCTGAATGTCACTGGCTAATAATTGATTGGTACCTGCATATCTGTCGGCCATTCATAAGTTATAGGTGACCGTTTCTTTCTCTTTCTTTTTTGCCTGGGATATATCTACCAGTAATTAGGTCCAGTACAGCATACCATATTCTAGAAACTTCCTCCAAGATTTGAAGAGAAAACAGACGGTGAACCGGATAGAAGGGACTTGGGACTCCGAATAATCCCAATCAAACATTTATACATTTCATTGAAACTTCTCATATTCCTTTATTTAATTGCTTATTTATCTATTTATTTATTTATTTATCTACCTACCTACCTACCCACCTAATCTTCCTCATCTCCAAACATCCACCTGTCATACCAATACAACCCCCAAAAGTAGCATCGCAAATAATACATACATACATAATACATACAGCCCAGTACCATTCAAATGATCCACTCTCAAGACACTCAAGCCATCATCCACAAATTGGTCATCATATCCGAATTCCTCCCTCTCATTTCCCAGCTCCAATCCATGTGACATAAGTTCTCCCTCCTTACTAATTAACTCGAGTAAGCAAAAACAAAGACAAGAACATAATGCTCAAAAAAATTCAACTCGGAATTGATTCTGATTTGTATACTCAAATATGCGTGTTAAGCCCCATGGCATCCCCGTCCCATTCGGCTCAGGTACCAACATCCTATTTGAACTCAGATATCCACCGATTCAGTCTCGAATCTATCAGATACCAAATCCAATGAACATAGAATGCCAAAATGGAATTATCTACGAATAATCTCATTCCTCAGTAGGAAAAGTCACCCTTGAAGTGCAGTATTCCATGAAATTTGCTACGTGAAGATCTTCATTCGTAATCTCTACTTTATATATTTCTGTCTATACTCATATCAAATACACATACCCCATTATTATACATTACAGCTCTTCAATCCTCTTCTAGCCCCCTTCACAGCCCGTTCTCCCAACCGCTTATCCCAATAACCCCCTATCCATCCATCATCCATCATCCATCATGTAAAAAGAGACACTCCGCTACTAAAAATGTAGCCGAGGAAACAATGAAGTTAGGCCAGTGGCAAGGCCAACTTACTACTCGCCTTTCTAGTCAAGACTTTCGTAATAGCATGTCTAATAGCGACACCAGCCTTCTCAATCTCCTTTTTCGAGAGTCCTGTCGTAATGCATACTTTGAGTGCTGGCTGTAATTTCCACTCTTCATCTTTGCCATTGCTACCCGAGTAGACTGGCATACTTTTGAGTCTAGTAATCATAACTCCATTGGCGAGTGCCTGTATACAAATTAGTGGATAGAAACAAGATTAAGTGACAGAATTGCTCGCCTCATCAACACATTCTTGCATGATACGTTCTTGTTCTTCGATACTCAGACGTCTGGAATTGACAATATCTTGCTTGAGAACAAGGAGCATGACCGGGTTTTCAACGGCACTGGTGCAGTGAACCCAATCACTTCTCGGATCAAGCTGAGCCCTCATCGCCTTGATGTTCTCTCTACATTGTACCAAAACCTCAGGATTAGTTTGTAGCATGTTGAGCGTTTCGCTAGCGGTAGTAGCTAACATAGCCGGTAAAGCCGCGGAGAAAGTGTAGGAAGCAGCAGTGATACGCTGATGTTCTACCACATCGTTTGAGCCTGCGCAGAATCCACCTCCGGCACAGAGAGGTCCAGCCAATGATCCAATCAACATATCAATTTGTGATGCATCCACATTCTGTGCTTCCGTAAGACCGCGACCAGTTCTACCAAGAACTCCAAAAGACCATGTCTCATCCAACATCAGGCGGAATTTGTAACGACGTTTGAGTTCAATCTAACGATTTGTTAGTTATGCACGTGTGCATTAGAATATGATTGGAGAGAGTTACCAGCTTGGGCAAGTCCACGCAATCACCAACTGTTTCTGACAATCCCTCTGTAACAATAAATCTTCTGGTCAACGGTCTCTTGGATTGTTCCTTAACCACCTTCTGCAATACCCTTTCCAAATCTTCCATATTGTTATGTTCGAAATATTTGACTGTACTTCTAGAAATTTGCAGACCCTTCCTGATTGAGTAATTGCTTGCTCGATCCGCCACAATAATATCACCTCTTTTGCAAAATGCTGGGATCACACTCGAAATCGTAGAAAATGCGTGAGCATACACAATGCACCCTTCCGTTCCCAAACATGATGCAATATCCGCTTCAGTTTTCATGTGTACATCTTGAGTGCCGTAGAATTGAGGGGGTCCGCAAGGTCCTACGCCATAAGTTCGGAGAGTTTGGATGGCCTTTTCT